CCTTCCCAAACCTTCCCAAACCTTCCCTTCCCAAACCATCCCTTCCCGGAACCTTCCTGGATCATCCCTTCCCTTCCTGGAACTTCCCTTCCCAGAACTTCCCTTCCCGGAACTTCCGGAACTTCCCTTCCCGGAACTTCCTTTCACTTTCCAGAACTTCCCTTCCCTTCCTGGAACTTCCCTTCACTTCCCAGAACTTCCCTTCCCTTCCCTTCCTGGAACTTCCCAGAACTTCCCTTCCCTGGACTTCCCTTCCTTGAACACTTTTCCTTTTCCCCCTCTATTCCTATCCACAGTGCTGCACCAAGCACCCTATTTTATAAAAAAATGGAAAGATGAGGTTCTCAAATAATGAGTTACAGGAACATGACCTTTGATACACGGTCAATCAAAATGAAGGCTCAGTAAAGAAAAGTTCGAAATGTAGAGATTGTATTTTTCTTTCTTTTTCAGACTTCCTGATTTACAAGTGTAAACCACAAAATAGAATAAAACTTATCAGTCTATACATTTTTAAAGCTATTTCATCCGTTTAAGAATGATGACGAATATGACCTGCGACCCACTTGCCAGGCAAAAGAAGAAAAAATACATACATCCCACCTTTTCCATTAGAGAAAAAAATTCTTAGCCTTTGCAAATGTAAGACAAAACCAATTTAATTTTTAACTGTCTTGCAACATATACACAAATAGCAATAGAAGGCATATGCATATTGAGTTGTTTTACTATGGAAATCATAAACAACATACCTTAAAACTTAGAGGGTCCAAGTCCTGGAGACAATCACAGAACCTTTGAAAAGAAAATTCCTTCATTAACACTATTGAAACTAATTCAGTTTAGGATAAAAGTCATTGTCCTCTGAAGGCTTTTGTTCATCACAGTTTTCAAACTCCTTTATTACCTAGCAGCATGCTCCTGTCTGATTTCCAGCTACCTTCAAGAGATGAGTGCAATTTCTTCAGTCCCTCAGTTCCTTTTTTGAGTTTTCCAAGAAGAAGTTTCACTGTGCTATCCAGTCCTCCTCAGTCCAGCCTCCCTTCCTGGATTTACATTCATTCTATATTATGAAGCCTAGCAAGAAACCTTTCTAAAGCAACCATTTTATGAAGTGGGTATCAACTATATTTTGTAGTCCCTCTGCAGCACCGTTTACTGCAGCTGCAGTTAACCAACAAACTGTTGAAGAATAAATACTAATCTCACCGGTGACAGAAAGAAAATACCTAGCACCAACTTCTTACTCGGGTTTTTTGTAATGAAGGAGAATGTAATGACTGGACCTTTGGTTTACCAGTGTCAGCACATTGGACAAAGCACTATAGGCACAGCACTGGGAACAGTTTATTTTGCCAAGGAATACCTTGATAAGCCTTTTCTCATCCTCACTTTTGTTTTGTACATGTTAGGTGAATGTCATCACACACTCATACTCTGTTGTATAATTGGAACATATCCTTTGCTCCTCTGTCTGTGCAGTGATTTCAGAAAAGTAAAAAAAAATTATTTTATTTAAGTATCTTAGCCCTTGAGTTCAAGATATCAAAGCCCCATTGACAAACAGACGATGCCAGCATATTTTTCCTGAGAGAAGATACTTCTGTGGTAGTATGTCCTTGTCATCCCTTGTTCTACCAGATATATATTTATAAATGTATACTTATACTATTGTAGATCTATACAGACTTGCATATGTATGAGTATAGCATGGGCACATATTTTTTTAAATACGGCCTGAAAATATTAGTTTATCCCTCATCCCTTTGAAAATGTCTTAATTCATAAAATATCAAACTTGCCACATCCAATTTTCTGTAAGTGTGAATTTACCTTCCACCATTGAAATATGATAAAGCTATAGTCCAAGTTAGTTACTGTTACTCTATTACAGGGCTTGCCTTATTATGATATAGATAGTAGAAACATCCTATTCGCCCAAATTTCACAGGTTGATATGTTTTATAGCAAAATACACAGTTGTATGGGGATGATCCAAGACATTTTGTTCATGTCACTAAGTGGCCTCTGTAAAAGCAATCCCAGGGGTGTAAGAATCAGAGTAACCTTGTCTCTAAAGCAGTTGTTTTATTGGCTAGCATAAGTAAAAGTATAGCTCCTCACCTTTAACAACATGTCTTGTGTCTTATTAGAGATAAGTTCTGATTTTTTGATGTACCAAAATTATAGTTTTCTCATTAATTATATATTTTTGTGTACAGATAAACATGCCAGCAATTTATTTAACTTTAAAGACACTGAAACTCCTGACAAACATTTTCAATTGCATTAACCTGCATACAAAAAAAGTAAATTTACTCTTTTTATTCTAAAAGTAAATACTTATCTTTAGATAAGTATTGTTGCAGAAGAATAAAATTTAAAAAATACAAAATGAAATGACAACCACCCAAAGTTAAAATTTGCTTATTTGAATCAAGTATCTCAGAAATGAACCTTAAACAAATGCATGAAATTCAAGGAAACAGGACTTCCTTCTAACCGGAATGATTCAAATAAACACACTGATGTTTAAAACAGTATGAAAAAATTCCCTCCAGCTATGAAAAAAAGCACTTGAAGAATGTAATTTTTTAGCTGTAAATTTTAACTTAATAGAATACATGTCTCTATCACATTGTAAGCATAAGAATTATCAAGCTTATTCCATCAAAGCTTTCTTTCTGCTGTACATATGACGGGATTCTGATTTTAAGTGAGTATTCCCAAACAGATCTTTTGCTAATGTTCCTTTCAAAAATCCCACAACTCTTATTTCATGATACTATCTACAAAATGCTTTTCAATCATTCAGATTGAAATGGTGGTTCAGACTTCAGCTGATGTAACAGCTAATGCTAAAAATTATTGTCAACTTGGTTTGTACTTTGCCAAATTCAATACAGAAAAAGATTACCAGTGACCTCACAGGCCCTGATCCTCCAATTACTGTATTTTTGACAATGATATATTTCTTGGATTCTTGACAAAATGACATTGAAGCCAAGACTATCAGCTCCATTAATCACTGATGAGAAAGTAGCTGACATCCTTCAGTGATGACTACACTACATTTCACTAAGGAACAGTACTTGTTGAAAAGTACTTATATTCTGAAACATTTATTTGATTTAAAAAACCCCACAATTTTCATATGCTTAGAACAATCTCACAAGAGACTAACATACTTCATGTACCTAGTCAATTTATTTAATCTCAAGAACTAATTAATTCACTCCCTGGCACAGTTTGTTCAAATGCAAAAATAGGAATCCTGATTTGTAAAACAAAAAGACATACATATATCAACACATCAGGTGGTGGGATTAGTTTACTCCAAGGAGCAATGGGCTCTGGACTGGATTTTCTTTTGTCTGCTAGTTACGATCTAGTCTGCTAGCTATGATCTTATGAGCTCTTAGAAACAAAATTAGGCCATTAGTGGAATTGAGACATTGAGCTTTGCATCAGTGACAGAATAAGATGCACTGTGATGAATCATAAAATATCAAAAATATGATGGTTCAGTTGGTGAAAGAATTTACAGCCTATGGTGTTAGGTAGAAATTTCTCTCAAGGGTTGTCATGTTCTAGTGCTCCCACATTTCAAAGAAGCCGTCATTCTCTGCTGAAAGAGCAGCCTTTTGCAGCAGTTGCCATTTTGCTGATCCTCTGAAAATCTGGAAAGAGTGGTCAAGTTAGGGGGCTTGTGTGCATACACAGTAGAGTGAAGAGGAAAATCAAACTGTAGCTGCTAAAACTTGGTAATTTGTGACCAAAAAATGATGTGGCACGGAGGACAAGAATGCAGAAGAGGATGAACAGTTTGAACAGAACAGGAGTGACAGGACAGAAGGACATAAGGGAGTGAAGTTTCCCTTGGGAATGAGGTACATTGCAGAGTTGTCTTACAGCAATCCATCACTCATGGACATAAGTGCTCAAAGGCCAAAGGCCACCTTGGGGCAGCAGAACTGTGATGGAGAATGGATCCAATATTGGGTTAACAATCATGGGATTGGTACCACTGAATGTATACATAAGGAATCAACTCCTGATGCACCTCTGCATGCACCAGGAAGAGCAGCTTATGGTGATAAGACTGCCCAGTGCACTGTACATTAAATCTTCTGTATTTAAGCACAAGCCAGTGTTTAATTCAGCTCAAGGCATGCAGTAAAATTTTCCCAACCAGAGACTTGTGAATTAGTGGTTGAAAATACACAGATTATTCCTGCGCAATTGACTGGACCATAAACATGATATTTCCACTCAAAGGATGGGTTTATCTCACCCACAGTTATAATATAAAACTAATTTTAATGTGATGATGAAGCTCTTGGAAGTTTCAGGCACACTACAGATCTCTACTGGGGTGTTCTGTGAATATTTATTAAACATGTTTATTTTGGATTAGATTTTCTCATATAAAATCAAAATATATTGTGTACTCAGGTAAGTACTTTTTTATGCATCGTATTGTATGTACCAGAAGGACAATATTAATTTCTCTTAATATAATCTATAGACCTTGCTATCTACACTGAAAATAAGGGAGAATCATCCAACCTGCAATAGTCAGTTGAATGAGCTATAAAAATAAATTTCCTTATCTAAAAACAATTAAGAATGTAATATTGAAGGCACAGTTCTCACAATGACTGAGGTAATTACTAAGCTTGTTCTGTATCTGATAGACAAAGACTTTGAAAGGAAATTAAATCACTGATTTCGTGTCCTAGAGGTAGATGCCAAATGAGATAATATAATTACAGATGAATGAATTTTATCTTAATTTTATAACTAAAAGAATATCTAGCATGCACATTGCAAAAGCAAGGAAAATCAGAAGATTTTGTGTTTACTTAAAGGAATAACAGTGGATATTCACTTTGAGCATACAAAGAGTGATGCAGTCTTGCAGCTACAGGCAATGAAAATTATTCAGCCCCAACGAAATCATCTACATCCACAGGAAGATTTCTCACGAAGTTAAGCATGCATCACCAGGACTCTCTAACAGGAATTAACATCACAACCACAGAAGGAATGCACTGATGGCAGAATGTGCTTAGGAAGGCACATAACCAGCAGATTTCCATGCTGGTCACATCACATCCCTTTTTATTCTGAGCTGCCTTAAAAAGCATTGGCTTCTTTACCCATACAAAAGCCTCCATCATTTCTTCATTCTTAGTGGCAAAGTCACATGCTTCACTGACAGCTGCTTCTCATATTTTAAAAGACCTTTCAAGTGACAATCTGATTGTCACAGGAACACGTACATTTTCTGACATGAGGATGAGAACAATGTAACTAACATGTTGCTACTAAATGGAATAAAAAATTGCTACGTTCCTCTACCTCCTCTACAACTAAAAAATTCCATCTTTCACTAAGAAAATTGAGTCTGCATAGTTCTTGATTTGCTATGGATTGATTTCTGCTGACTTAATCATAGCATTATTACTTAAAAGCCAAAACATGCCTTAGTGCTGGCAACTTTGTATTTAAATCAGGGTTATGGAAAATAAGAGTAATGAACCTCATGGAACTGAAAAAGCATCCAAATAGAAGCAGAAAATGAAGCAAGGTCAAGTCCATCAAAGCAACAGTAGAACTTTTGAAATTCACGGCTTTATCAGAACATGATACGCCACTGTGAACAATTACAGTTCTATGGAAATTTTTGAGAGGACAGTGATGGAAATTTTTCATAATTTCTGCTAAAATTTGTTTGGGTTGTAGCCACAAAACAATACCTGAGGAGCAAAGGAAGAGCAGACCAATTTCTC